TATCTACAGACACTGTGGGTTGCTGTTTCTACAGAATGGACAAACCAAACACTGGTTCTAGAATAGACAGGGTATTTTGCTTTTCGCAGGCACCATAGTTTCTCTTACATGCTCGAAGGCTTTTAGTTGGTTGCAATCTGCAACCTTACCACTAGATGCCACTAAATTGTACATGAGAGAAAACATGAAAAACAAACAAGCAGTATTAACAAAGAGAGTTCAGCAAAATGTTTCTCCATAGAACAATATGTCATTTACGATGATATAAATGAAATAGTTTTGTATCTCTCATCTCAGTTCATCTGAGAACAAGAAGTTCTTCTCTTAATGGATGTGAAAGGATAAATAGTTTGATAACTGAATCGTCTCTACTGTGTTATATTGTCACATCCATAACCCATCTATAGTTAGAGTTACAGTTGAATTTCAGTGTCAGATGTCTAATTTATGATCAAATTTTAAACTGAAATTTTGTTTATTGTGTTTCTCCACACAAGTGTCTAAATCTTTCATAAGAAAAAGTAAATGTAGAATAGAGATATTGCAAACGTAATGCTCAGATAAACCAATGTGTTTTGTAATGCAAAATACTAAATATGTAAAGAATTAAAAACCTGAATTTCCTAGTAGTTCGTCCATTCTGAACCAGTTTTTGCAGCCTGTCACTATCCTACTTTCCCCTTTTGTTACATAATTATGAGCCATCAATTATTCAAACGTTTGGCTTCAGTGTATCTGGAACAAAGGCTAAATCCAGACGAGTACATGTTTTATGGGGACCCAAGTCCATAAAAGATGAAAAAGTATTTCATAAAGAAAAAGTAGGCCAAATCACCTCCACTGTATTCTCTCTCTTACCGCTAATCCTTTTATCTTGATGTATTATAATATTCTCGTATCCAGCCCGGATCAAAGATGGTCCTCAGACTCATGTATCAACTTAGTGAAGGTTTCTAATCATTAACCTCAACCTACAAGGAGGGAGTGTTGTTAAGCAAACACCGCACCAGGAAAAGAGCTGTCTGTCAGCCACTGATAGTGATAAGTAATGGGTTGTGCTAGCCATCTTACTTGTCCGAGTACAATCATCAACCTTTTAAATGTGGTAAATATGATAGCTTTATTTCCATCAGCACTTACTGTAAATATAGCTGCTGTTAGTTCCCCATCCTGATGCTACTGGTCATACTAGATTAAGTAAGGCCGTATTTGCTAAAACCCCTGACTGTATTTTACTGAGCAAGTGTTAGTTTTATTGCTTACAGATTATACTAAACTTTTTATTTGTAAGAGAATAAATGTACTACCTCTTCTTTTAAGGGTTAAATCAACATCATTTAAACTCACACTAATCTATATTTTTACCTGGTCAGCACAAAATACCTAAATATTACGGCTTTAAGTATATTTTTTTGAGATTTTAATTGTTGCGTTGTTTTAAATGAGTCCCATCCTCACTGAAAGGACAAAAGTTCTGTCTCATCCTTAACGCGTTGAAAATTCATTTTAGCGGGTCGATCATTGTTTTGCTGAGCTCTGAAACTTTATTTTTCTTGTGTCCTCGGAGTGGTTTGGTCGTCGAGCCTCTGTGGCTTCTTGGCTCTGCAGGCCATGCCTAAATTTAAATAAACATTCCTACTCTGGGATTTCATGCCCAACCTGGTTTAGATCACGTCAAACTTTTTAAACCCTGCAAATCTACATTTCGGACTGAAATGATTTTCCTCCTGAAGCCATGGGCAGTTATCTTTCAAGACCAATTAACCCTCCGACATATGTTTCCCATATTCATTTCACATTTCCAATTAGTTTCTGTCATTTTAATGGGTAGAACAACTGTATCTCAATGCCAAACTCAGACTCTAGATGTTTATTTCTGTGTTTATTTCCTGCGTGTGTGAAATTGTAGTACCAGGCTATAATTAGAGGCATAACAACAACGATCAATGTAAAACGAACATGGTGGACATGGCGAGCTATCCGGTTGCCTCATGTCATTTGTATGCCAAGGCCGAAACTGAATGGAAAGATCAGGACCTGGTTCTATGAGCAAAAAAGCTTTTACGATTCTTGGCTGTAGTCAGCCTTTGACTCAATTTGCAGCGTAATGAAATTTAAGTTGGCTTGTGTCTGATCACTGTCCCCGGATTTTGCATATGACAGAATTTTCCTGCCAGTTCAGACGTATAAAGGAGCCCAGAAATGATTTCTTTTTAAAATCTCTTCCATTTGTTCTAATAAGCTTCTGATTATAGTTGATGGAAATAAGCCACTCAGTTGCGTATTTAGATTTTTTTTTTCCTTTTCTCTAATCATAAAATCATTCATGGCAGGAAAACAGGTGGTTTGTACTCTCACCCTAAATGATTGAAGAAGTGGCTGAAACAAAAACCAGAAGGCTATTGACCTTTGAGGGCTGAAGTCAGTCAGTCACTCAGATGCATCAGGACCCCGGTGCTGCAGCACTAGCTTCAAGTGTTATCACTCAGGATTTTGTAATAAGCAGAGAGAATATTTAACATCAGGGTATCTCTGTGTTGCAGGAGCTGGATGTCATCCCAGATCTGATGGGAGAAAACGCCAGGTATCTATTAAAGGAGTGGAACTTCATCCAGGTTTCTGTAAGTTCCCATTTTAGCTACGACTTTGCTCAGAAATGAAAACATGTCCCTGTAAATATTCATGATCTGTTCTGGCCAAGGGAGTGTGTAGATTTTAGATTAAAAGCTTGTAGCATGCTTCTTATCTTGCTGTTCATCATGGAGAAAAAAATCATCTTTGCTCAAAAGTGCTTATCTACTTTTGGATTTCCTTGGTCTTCAGGTCAATCGTTCCTGCCTGTCTGAAGTGGAGGCCTTGTTGACGGATTTGGAGGCAGCAAATCGGGCTCTTCTCCATCCGCTGGTCGTCATTTGGGTGAGTTCACGCATCGATTCTGCTTCTATTGTTTTACAAAAAAGCAGCTCTCTGAGGCTGTACATAAGCACCTTTGAGTTAATGACAATGACAATGCTAACATGATGAAGTAATGCAATATTTCGAACCTGATGACGGCGCTAAAAGAACATGTAAGGGAGGTGAGTTCATCCTAAGGAGAACATGAATAGCGAAAGTGAACCCTGTGGTGGTGCTAAATGAAAAGTTGGGGTATCAAAGACAGGATTCCTTCTTTGGGGATCATGAATGTACAAAATGTTGTGGAATTCCATCCAGTAGGTTTTCAGTCTGGACCAAAGTGGTGGACTGACCGACAGACAGTCGTTGCCGTGCTAGACTGGCTCAAATGCCACCTGAGATTCCACATGTCCAAAACCACCCTCAGACACTTGTTTCCATTCCTTGCTGTCAGTGGACTGATGTTGTTGTTGTCTGAAGGACAGATTTGTAAACCACTGAAGAAGAATGAATGACTTTCAGGGGCTATCGTGTATCAACTGCACAGCAACTCTGACATGCAAAAGTTACAGGGAGAAAACTAATTTCTTGAATTTGTTAAAGGTGATTTTAACTTTTTGACTTGGATCAGTGGACCAATGCAAAAATGAAGCTTGGTAGGGAGGCCAACAGAACCTGGAGAGCCTGCTCTTGAGTCTGTGATGCGTGTTTTAACCAGAAAATCCCCCAACAACTTCAGTTTAATAAGTGCAAAGGTTGCACATATTACTCTATTAAACCACTGCCATGGTCTTTTCGCCGGCCTTTCAATAAAACTACAAGTCAGCACACAGAAGGTTTCATTAGTACAGGATCAACTTGTCTTTGTGATGCCAGTACAGAAGCATCTTTGTAAATTTTATGCTCATTACTTTTTATCCCTCCCTTGCTCTTCAATTACTTTTTAAAGTTTATCGCTGTTTTACTTCAGTATATCAGTGTAGTACAATGTACGGTCATCATGGCACCTCCATGAGGATTCACAGGAAGTGATATTTTCTATATTAATGCAGCAGGAACAGTAGTTTCTTGGAAATACTGTAATAATTAGCCATCAGTATGAGCAATTGCTGCCTTTTACAGACGAGGCAAGGCAAGAGGTGTACCTACTAATAAGGTATGACCATACATGCTTTACATTTACCCCTCAGGACTCTTCCTCCTGGCATATGTACGTTCACTTTACTCACTTCATAAAATATATTTTGGTATTCGCTACCCTGATAAATCGGATTATATTTGGGGTAGCCAGTGTTCTGGCACAACAATTGCCACCAGTATTGGGAGGGTTAATCATCATGGATAACTTTCAACTGTAGGGAGATGCATATAAGCTAGTTTTAGGAGAATAAGTGTTTTTTACACACAATCCGTGTTGGAAAAATCTAAATGTTATGTACAATGTGTAAAAAGTAGTTTAATGTGAAGTACCTATTTAAGCTTAAATGTGAAATGGAATATCTAACTATATAAAAATAATTCAAGTGCTAAATGTTGTTTACTTTATGCTCTTTAGGCCTCTGTTACATTTACAATTAAGATTAAGTGGCATTAAATCCATAATCATTAACAGGTTTAATGCCAAGTACAAAGAACTCACATACAATCATAATCACATACAAGAAGTCAGTAAGTGTATAAAGCGCTACTGGAGTTCCGTGTGTTCTGGAAGTTAAACATGCCTCAGTATCATTTCCCACACTTTGAATGAACTTTTCTTTGCATGTTTTGTGAATACAGACATCTGGCACAGGACAGATTCAATTTCTTCGAGATGCATGTACTTTCTTTTTTACGCTTGTAAAAACGTCACCTGTAGTCCACCTCGGGTACCCTGATGGGCTCTGTAGCTGTTTAGAAACCCTACACCTCCCAGGAGAGCCCTTCAGCTCAGCCTTGCTTACTTCTCCCGGCTTCAAACACCAACGTTCACCACTAACAGACTAACACTGACCTGAAAGAAAAACCTAAAACAAACTGATCAAATCTGCTCCAAGAAACATTTAAATACTTGCGAAAAAGCCCTGTTTACCCTCTTTTAATTTGGAAAATTGACCTCTTTAACTAACACGCAGAGCAAATACCCAAACAATGCCAGACAATAAGAAAGAAATAAACCTACAAAGGGCCGACAAGTTTCAATCACTGCAAATGTCACGCAGCATTACTACACTGAAGCCCCTGCTCTTGTTTGTGTGAGTTGTACTAAGTTTTCAATAAAGATTGGGAAAACATACACACACACACACAAACATAGATTCACACGTGTAAACACACACACAGGCACACAAACACACACATGGATTCACACGTGTAAACACACAGTCTGAAGCTGGATTTTACAGGGATTGACTTCCTACCACACCAGAACGAAAGCACGCCACAGTTCCCACAACTCCCACTGTCCACATGTTTATATTCTACTCTAATCTATTCTATTTTGTTTTTTTTAATGTTTTTATTCTATTATATTCCACTCCAATGACTTCCAACTTTATTCTACTTTGTTAAATTCTAGTGTGTCCTATTCTACTCTGCTCTAATCTATTTAGTTTTATTCTTTTTGTTTTGTTTTGTTATTCTCTATTCTGCTTTATTGTATTCTATTTCTACTCCTTTCCATTCTTCTCTATTTCAGTTTACTTTGGTCTTTTATATTATACTCTGTTATTCTGTTATATTCTACTTCAATTTAAGTCATTGAAGTCATTTATCAAACACAAATGTCAAAAAGCTGCTTATTTTCATTTTTTAATCGATAAATCCCAAATGAAAATCTTCCTTAGTTGCAGCCCTACACATTTCTACAACACATAATTAAAATTACATAAAGCAAACATAAGCAAAGTACATTTAAAAAAAGAAAACAATCCATTACTATAACGAATCACTTAAAGTTGACTTTTTCCTTCCCGTCTAACCTGATTTCATGGTCACGTTAGAATGTGTGTGAACTGGGAAGTTGTGACTATAAGAAACGTGAAGCAGCCGCTGAGTGTCACAGCTGTAAGTGATGAGGCTTAGTTCAGCGCCAAAAGGTTTTTGTGTTACCTGTTTTTCCACAGGGGGCTGTTAGATTGCACACGTACCTTGTTATTTATTATAGGTCTGATCACATGGTAGTGATCAGTGGAGGGGTAATTGAGTTTGAAGTGTGGGTGGTAGCCTCGAGGCCAGATAAGCAGACTGGTTGATGAAGGTCACTGTTTCAGAACGAGGTGATATGGCCTTGAGCAAGATATTCAAAGAAAGAATCTCATGTTATTGATATTACCAGCTGATGTCTTGTTAGGTGTCATAAATCTGTCATGTCTACTACAGTTGTTATCCTGTTTTTTATTAGAGAATCTTTGACAGTCACCAGAAGCACATGGTCTGGCTGCTTGTGAAAGTTCCTGTGTGGTACCTGTGTTAGTAACGTTAGCTAATCTAGCAGCTGTCTGTAGAGAAGCTCCGGCTCCGTAGCAGGCCACAGTCTACAGAGTTGAGATGTTGGTTTTATAGGGAATTGTAGGAAAACTCATAGAGAGGCTTGACATCTAAAAATGCCAGAACAAAACTAAAGCACCACATTTTGTATTGCTATATTTTATGAGAATCCATCTTGACATAGTAATCAACATCAAACATATGTACCTGTTTAGCCAATACATCTATGATAATCCTTCATTAATCAGTAAAAATCTGAAATCAAACATATACACCTTCAATTTGACCAAATACCTTTTTATTAAATTCTTTTAAAGACTCTGGACAAACATGGAAATAAACTGCTAGTTGACTGATTGATGGAGGCCTACAACCTGCAGTTCTAGTTTAATTCATGCTGCTGTCATTGTGCATGTGTTAGTTTGTATTTTGGATATTGTCAGCACAAATATAACTGTGGCTTCAGTGTTTTAGTAGACTCATAGGAACCTTAAAGTGGCCTTGATGACAGCGAGCATATGATTGATATTAAAGTATAAGTGTAATAATTGCATGTTTCGAGCAGATGTCTTGACACATTTGAAACGATTCTCCCGACTATAAGGATATGTGACAAAATAATTGCAGTGAATAAATCTTGAGTTAAGTTTCTGTCAGTGGGACGGTTATGAAAATCAGCTAAGCTTTAGATATTCTTAAAGATGACACAGTAATGTGAACCAATGTGTCTGGATTATGCTGCTTTAATTGGAGAAAATAAACCCCAGAGACCTTAAAGATTTACAACTGAATTAGAGGATCATTATACCCTCAGACATGACTATGTATCAACCAACCTCTGTTTACTCTCAGCACCGCACAGCTCAAGTCTTCTCTGAAGACCATCTTAAATAAACAGGGCTATAGAGTTGCAACATGTTTAAACGACTGCTTGAACAATGAGCTGTAATTGCTCCAAAAAAGGGGCATAATTGCTGTTCTGGTAAGAGATCCTCGCTATTGGCAGGGGTTTTCTGATTGGGCGCGGTGGGCTTTGTTTTGATAGGTGCATTTGAGCGCTTCAGATGAGCTGTCCATCAGTGGGAGAATGGCAGAGCTAGCAACTATAATGGATCTGGCCGCAGCAGCCAAGCTCCGTAATATTCTCCTCTACGGCATCCAGCTTCATCAATCAAAGGTAAGCTCTTTGTATTTCCCCATCTTCTCCATTCTTTTGTTTTATGTCTTCCTAAAGAGAGCTCAGAGTTCCTGTGCTGTGAATGCATATTTAGGAGAGGCCAAACAAAACAGAATGGGAAATGTCTTTTAAGTGTCTTGTTCCAATGTCTTGTCATGCTTCTAGGCTGCAGGCGAGGTTGCTGTCTTTTATCACATCTTTATGTGTGACTTTGTGTGCACTCTTGGACAGGTGTGTCTTTTTTATGTGCGAGAGGGGATAAACGTGTGCCTGCCAGTGTGATTGAGAGGGCAGGAAGTCAACTTTTCACCTTTCGCCATGTTTGTTGTGCAGTATTGTTTCAACTGAATGCCAGAGGGATGAAAAGGATGCAAAGGCGCTTTAGGTCTAAAGCATCGTGCAGCTCAGCCACCGCACGTGTAAGCTGAACTTCTACGATTAAGCTGTGTGTCATGGGAATCCACTGCGAGGCCCGCCAAGTGTGCACTGGAGTCATCAGGGTGGATGCGGTTGACCTGAAATCCATAACTGACTGCTCAGTAATTACAGGATTATATAAGGTAGAATTATTCATCCCGCACAGTGAGAAATGTCAGGATTCATGCTACCAAAGCCGTCAAGTCAAATCACAACTTTTGGGCCAGATGTGCAGAGCAAACCTACGACAAATGTTGAATATTCATGGCATTGTTGGCCTTAAATATGACATTCATCATGATTTATGCTCATGACTGGCTGCAGCAGTGTGATAAATGAGGTTTCTTGGCAGCCGCATCACTTCACAAATCGTTCGTAAAAAAAGCCTCTGTGCCTCAGGCGAATCGATGTTTGAGCAGGTCGGGGTTTATTCACTCCTGCAAAAGAAAACTTGAACGATGAGCTGAAGAAGGGGGCCCGGTCTTCTGTGGTCAGCGATTTGGCATCCTGCGGCCCTTGACGTCACGGTAATTAAAACGAGATGCTTTGTATTCTTGATAGAGAATCATGCGATACGCTGCTGGCCCACATATGAGTTTGATTCAGCTATCGGATGTTGGACATCATGATTTTCCCTTGAATTATGGAGACTAATGCTGTTAATTAGTCATCCTGCTTCAACTCCTCAGAGAGAACAGAGAAAAGGGGAAGGGAGTGGACGGAGATAATGCGTGTTTGTCCGTGATAAAATGCTTATCGTTATGAGATAGTGGAACAGCAGAATACAGCCTCATATAAATCACTGTTAGCTTTTTGTTATAATGAGGATAATTCTTCCCAGATGGCCTTGTTCATATTTTTTGAGATGCCTGCCAACACTTCCTCTGTCAGCTGTACAGTATATATGAATATTGCTCAAAAATTCAACATTTGTTTTATTTCTTTGGCTTCAAAAAATAAAGATCTGAGAGCAGGCAATAATGTACACATAGTGAACATTTTCAGGCAATCAGTCTGATTAGTAAAAGACGCATTAAATCTGCGGTGGTACATTAAAATGCAGTTTTTCTTCTATTTTGTTTTTGTCCTCAGTTTGTTGCCTTAATTAAAAGATAAAAAACTTCCCTATGAAAACCATAAACATCTGAGATGGTACTGTGATTATATGAGCCATTATATAACTTTGTTGCTGTAAAATTCTGTATTTTCAACATCCAGAAAAATCACATGAAGGCTGGCATGTTGTTTCTTCACTACAACAAAACAGCCTGAATTACATTTTCTGTTCCATGCAAAGAAAGGTCAAGTTTCCCTGTGTGGAAGTCTCTAAGTCTCTAATATTGAGAAGAGAAGCACAATTAAAACATTTAGCTATGCTGCTGTCCACAGTTTTAAACACATGTTCTTCCTGTGACATTTGACAGTTCACTTTGTATCAACAAACATTCACTCAATTAATATTAATCAGATGTTCTCACCAATATGTAACATTGAGCTATTTTGCTTAAAAGAAAAGTTTATTGATGTGTGTGAAAATCTAATTTTTATTTATTTCTGTCTGTGTGGCTTTGTGCACTGTGTGTGTGTGTGTGCATACCATCTTCCGCACCACTGAGAGTGAAATAAAGAAAGCCCCAATTCAATCTGTGACTACATTTAGTACAAAGAGGCACAATGGTCCACATCAACATAATGGTCTGCTTTCTGGCGTTTGGAGCAAGTTTATGCGCTGCCTCCTAAAAGTCGACGATTCAAGTTGAACCACATTTTGTCAGTCAAATCACTTTTTGTTTTCATTGTACACAGAGGCAATGCAGGAGCAACAGCATAGCAGAATGTAAACTTTACAAAGCTAACTGTGATGGAAGTAGAGCGGAGTGATGGAAACGGAGAGCAGTGCGAAGCAGAGCAACACGACGCATATCTGTTGGCTGCTCGACACCCTTAGCTCCAGTGAAGACTGTCAGTGGAGTCGTGTGTGTGATTCTTCAGCTGAATATAATATATATATTATAATAATCTTTATAACAACAAAAATATTTCCACATTGTATATATATATAATATATATTATATATTATATATATATTATATAATATTATTTAATCCATACACAAACAAAAGTGTAAAAACAACAAGTCGTAGTTTTGCGGGTTATGTGCTTTAGCTAAGCTAACTGACTCCACCTCCACACTTGAAGATGCAATTACGACAATCAGAACCACTAAATGTGGCACTAGAGTACCAGCTCTAAACAAATGAACGCGTCAGCAATACCTGTCCTTTCTCTTCGTGTCCCCCCACCACCCTCCATTCACCTCCTTCGTTAAATAGGCAGCCATTGTAGAAAAACTGAACTGGGTAAATATTATGAGAAATGTGTTCAGTTTTAACCTGGCATCAAAAGCTTTGTGTCAAAGAGAGTCTTATGAAAGCTAAGAATAATATTTGTGCAGTCGGAGAAGGCTAGTTTTCTGGATTTAAAGTTCAGAATGCCATTTACAGAGACATGCTGCCAGTATACAATAGTTGAATCTTATAGTCAGAGCTGCATGTCACTGGAAATATTTTAAATCATGTCAACATGAATAAAAAATGTGCACATATCCTAAAACATATTTTCTTCCTGTGCCTTTTTATGTATTTTAAGCAAGAGTTTAAATGTGATTTGATTCTTGAATACAACTCGTCTGTAGATGAAAACTCAGGTTTTGATGATAAGTTTTGATATTTTCAGATGCCCTTGATTTGCCATGGACAGTAAAACGAGGTGTGACATCAATAACTTGTGTAATTTTTCCAAAGTTTTATACAAAATCTTGTTAAAGATAATCCACCATAAACTCTGAGTCCCCTTTTGTTCCTCCCTAAATGATTTCATTCTCTGCTCTGACATGACTGGTTGTTGTCAACTGCACACCAGTGAGAAGAACAACCATGGAGAACATTTAAGTGTCCCTTGCTTCTCATTATGTATCACTCTGAGGAATTATTGGACGCACCCACCTCTTTGGAAAAGTACGGCCATTTGGCTAATTGAATTTTAACCTTTGACAGTTAAAATGCATGAGCACATGGAATTGTGTTCGTCCCAGAGAGGTTGGGAAAAGGATCCACCTCATTGACCTTTAGGGATGTCTTGTTGGATAAAAATTGGATTTTCTCAAATGAGGCCTGACTATGGTTTCACATTATTCAGAGTAACACCCAACCACCAAGGCACAATGCATCCAGCAGCGTGTCGCCATGTGTGCCACTTCTCTTCGTCGAGGGGAGAGAGTGAAATGGAGTCACGGACAATGAACAGCAGTCTCTTTGAAAGGACATGTGATCAAAGCACTTCTCTAGAGTCTTTTTCCGTTTGTGTTGTTACCCCTCTGAAGATGCCCACAAGCCAAACATCAGGTGCGATAATGTGTGAAAACCTCAGACTGATCCAAAGATGTTGGCTGAGAATATGCAGACACCGGATCCTCATAAACTGACACGATGTTGTGAAAACGGTGACGGTATATGCTATCAGTGTCTGCAGTGGCAATAGGAAGTGTCATTGGATCCCTCCTCGCACAGGGTCCTGGCGACTTGTCATCCGCTGAAAAGGGAGTTGTCACGGTGATATATGGGTGTTGTAATCCCTGCAGTGAGAGCCCTGATGTTTACCCAACCCCATATTTCCTCCTCCTCAAAGAGCCCGGACCGGGAATCCTAAACCTGAGAAGAGATTAGCGGCCGGGAAGAAAAGAGAGGGAGAGAAAGGACAAGAGGGAGGGGAGGGAGGAAGAAAAGGAGAGGACTCTATAGGTCTATTCTCCTCTACCTGTTCAGATCTAGGTCTGAAAGGCAGACAGGTGAAACCGTACACGACCCAGCGAAGCTCTTGCTTTGACACTCGTGGAGTTGTACCCTCGCCGGGGTCAAGGAAGATCAGGGAACTGTTGTCTCTGTGGTTTCAGCACACTCACTACTTTTCTCAGGCTAAATCCAACAGTTGTCCTCTGCTAGAGTTGAGAGGCACAGCATTGCACGAAAGGAAGCATGGGTGGTAAATGTATGCAAAAGGATGTGACAGACAAGTTTATCTGATTCATTTTAAGGCGTCACCAGCCAAAATGTTAAGGAGCCAACCTGTTTTAATAAGACTATAGGTCTAAAGCCACGTTAACCTCTGTAAGGCTGTACTTGGGCACGTGCATACATCGAGATGTTAACATGCTCACAATGACAATATCGACATGCAGATGTTAAGAAGGTATGTTCTTCACAGTGTTCACCATCTTAGTTTATGTTCCATAAGAGGCAACATGAATGTACTGTATATGTAATGATTTATAGCGATCCATATAACAGTTTCAGTTCGAACCAAAATGGAGGACCGACTGACATTGTCATTTATATAGTTAGCATGGCTAGAAAGAGTCTGAACCAGAGTTTATAAAGTCATAAACAATCAGGTTTCACTGCAAATTTCCATAACTGCAACCTGGTCCTTTAGTTAATTCCCTGAAAATGAATTACACACTCCCAGAGAATTTTCTAAATGAAGGGCCAAGGGAAAATGATTTCTCCAGAGGTCTTATTCTCACA